AGAAATACCCTGGAATTTTTAATGAACAGATCTCGGTTTTATGTCTCATTCAAATGACAGCGACTTTTTTTTACAGTATAGTGTCCATGTCCCTATACTAGGGGAATAGGACCCACACACTACATGGTGAGCGCCCCCTACTGGCCCCTCTAATACCTCTTCCAGAAGCAACTCATCTCCCATCCAAGTACCGACCATGGTCATAACTGCTGAGCTTCAGTGGGTTTCCAGCTATGAGTTGTAATGTGATAGAACTGCTGGCTGTAATGCAATTATAAAATAACATAAAATATACATATTGCTATAGCTCTTCATGTAACAGTGCTCACATTTCAACTTCTCAGCTACAGTGTCCCATGTTCTTATACCATCTGTGTCTTCCACTTTGTGCGGCAGGGGTGTGTCATATCATTGAGCTACTGAGCATCAGGTTTATGGTTTAGTTGTCAGCAGGTGAGTTAAGGTTGATCCAGGCCTTTAGCGCTTATTGTTGCTGGATTTGTCTTCATCGCCATCCATGTGTTTTGCCTTCAGAAAACAAAACTGTCCAGGTTTGACCATTTTGTATTCCATTCACATCTTCCAGAAGCAGTAACAGAAAAGCGCCACAGGCATGCCTTATGCTCTTTCTAAAAGAGTCATATGTTCTGTGTCAGGCCAGAGAAAAAGAGAATGAGTTCAGACTATACCAGCTCTCCTTAGCCTGAGCTGTTGACTTAAATTTATAGTTGCTTTTTTTTTGTATGCATATATTATAATCTCATCCCATGGTGTGTTTGGGTGCAGGCAGGGTGGACTCCTGGCTACATGACAGGAAGTGAATTTCAACCAAAGTTTTTTCCCCACTCTGAGCTCTAACCCCAAGCTTCTGTTTCAAATCCTAATAAATATAAATGGAGGTGCCCAAGCAAAGATAATGGCATGGCAGCCGAAGATGGAGTGTCCTGCTAAATGGGTCACCTTAAGCACACGAATGCAAGGAGACTAAATAAAACAAGTGCACTAAGTATCCTAAAGTGTAAGTGGCCATTAGGGAGTTATTACTATACTTTGGAAATTTTAATTGCATTTTGTAACATCAAAGATGCTCATCGTTCACTTCAGGGCACTCGGAGAGGCTTTTTGCTCTGCAGGTACGAAAGAACATAATATGGGGCTGGAAAAAAATAATTTGTGTTTTTCCGTTTCATCACCCTGCCAAATATAATAGGGGGGAAGCTCAGAAGGGTTGTGGGAAGTGATAGATGTCCCTCATTGGACACAGAACATTTAGTTTTCATTAAGAGTTAAACGCGTACATGATACATTAGCAGGGGTTCAGTGAGTGCCACCGTGCGCTCACTGTATTTCACTCTGATGAATTAGCAAGCTGCTCGCTGGCAGAGGGATGACAAAGGGAAGCTGCAAGGATGACATTAATATGACATGTGTTTTGCCAGCCAGATAATTTCTCTGAGCAGGATGGTGTTGTAGAGCCGGCTAATATTGTCCCTGACCTGGGCTGAGCTCTCTGAGTGGACAGCCGGTACCTGAAAAGGTCAGGCAGAGAACTGAGTAGCTAAGGATTTCCAAGAGACAGCAGAACTGAAGGTTCAGGCCAGAAATGTAAAGCCTTTCACTGGCATTGGATTTCTCATGGTAAATTATTATTATTCTCTACAGAAAGGAGGTTTAATTTCAGGATTTAGTCCTCTCTCCCGTGACCTGTGGTTTTGTTTTGACTTTTCTTGCCAGACAAACACCCACCACTAATACTTTTTGTTGATAATTTTGTTGTTGTTTTTTTAATCAGGCCTTCTTGCTGCAAACATCTTTTGCATGTTTTCCATGTTTAGTAACACCTGGGATTAGAATTTCCTTCAGGCAACATTTTAAATGCAAATTGTCAGACAGGCAGTACAGTTGCAAAAAAAGATATACAGTAAATACATATACATTGATAAAATATATATATATTTTGATATTTATATATACAAATAAAATTTTGGAGTGTACTTGTTATACATTATTGCCCGCTGATGTGTTTTAGTTAACCCTTTTTATAGCTCATGCTTAAAAACCTTTAGACATTTGTTTAACTGAAACTAAGTACAAATTATAATGGAAAATGGAGATATTAATTACTGAACAGCTTCAGTGACTATATAGTCATCTGAAGCTTTGTTCATCACCTGTGCTACTGAGGAACTAAGTATTATTTAAAGTAAATATTTGCCGGAGACTTTCTTACACACCATGTTTGCATCAGGAAGTCTTGGACTCAAAGAAGGTAAGGCAACAGCATTCAATTATGGAGAGAAGCATCAGAGAAAGTGCTGTTGAAAAACCCTGTATATCAGCAGTACTGGACACGAGTTGACTATCGAAGTGCTGTGCAGAATCGTGAATGCATTGTAAGAAACTGTGGCAGGTTCTGTAAGAAAGGCACTCCTTTAGCTAAACAACAATACCAACAACTTAGAGCCCCATGAGAATAGCTGAAAAATGAAGAAGAAGGAAAAGGTTGATTTTTCTGAAGGTTTCAGTTTCCCTGTGCAATGTAATCTCTTTTAATCTAATTCTAATTAGATCTGTCTATCAAAATTGGAAGTGTGTGACTGCATATAATTGTACCACCTACACTTTTGTTGTGTTTATGATGTCTTGGGTGCAATGTCCACATCTTTAAGCTCTTTTTCAGCTTTGATCAGACAGAATATTGCATCAAAATACAGTAAAATACAAATACATAAAGATAATTCTAGTGCAAGACAACATATAATAAACTAAACGTTCATATTCCTTCTAGCTGAAATACCATTAAAAGTTTTCGAGTAGTCTTAAGGCTAAGTAACAGAGAACAGGCGCTGTCTGTGCTGCATATTCATTAAGATGGCTTTCAAAGACCTGTTAGACGCACTGTTGCTGTATGAGGGGAAAGTCGGTGAGGTAGGAGGTCAGATACCAAGCCTTGTAGGCATGTCATGCAAGCACTCCTCCCTGCATAAAGAATGCAGTCTTTTCTGTTTTGAAGCAGGTGTCGGTTACAATTGCAATCTTCAGTCCAGTCTGCAGCTTGGTGCTACATAAAGGTCAAAGCTTATTGACGGTAAAAATAGGAAAGACCAGGCATCAACATATTCCTAATTTGTTTTCTGCCAGTGTGTGCATTCTTTTTCATTATTCTCCTGTTTCTGTTGGTGTAAAGTATGTGAGACACAAGCGGTAACCGAAAAATCACTTTTTATCTTTAATTTATGTATTCTTCAGACTGTTTCATTACATCAGGCCAACGAGAGGGGAGCTGGTCATCTGCGTTTACAATCATACTATTTTATGCAGAAACGAATAGCATTGATTGCAAGTGTCTCTGACAGGAAGGTGATGACTGCTGTAGAGTTTCTAGCCCATACGGTGCAACTAGAAGCTGTGGAGAGATTTAGAATCCCTGGATTACCTAAGGAACCCTCAACGTACCTGCACCGGATTTTACCTGCAGCATGAAAACAATCAATAATACTCTTTGACATCTAATAACAAGCTGGGGCTACTGTTGAGATGCTTCAACCTGGCACATGGCTTTACACAGAGGAGAAATGTGTCAAAAAAGGATGAAGCCTTTCACGTTCTGTTTATTACTGTGTTTTATTGCGAGGAAAATGTCTCGACTCTGCAAGGTCTACAAGTGAACGTGAAAGACTGTAAATGTTTACAAATGAGGGATCCTTTTTTTTCCCACCCAACACCATGGAAGTGATGGATACAAAGTGAAAGATTTTAAAGAACTGCGCAGCCTTTCTCTGGTTTGGCAATCTGCTGTCCATTAAATTATGTAGGAGTTAAAACCTCCTAGAACCGAGACATGTAATGTTTGTGAAGTGTTGCAGCCTTTCAGCAGAAAATGTCTGGCTCCCAGCACCGTTGCTCTGATCTGCGAAGAGCGTGATTAACAGTAGTTCTAAGACATGCCCGTGCTTCAGGCTTGTTCTGACAAGGCCACACATACTCCATCCGGGCCTGACAGTCGAATTATCTGCTCAGGCCAATTTCTGCCCTGATTGCTCACAGGAGTGCCAGGATTTAGGATTACTGTCCATAACCTTGAACTTCACAGTCATGATGATGGTATTGTCTGGACACAGCACAGTTTATTTCTCTGCCTAGGAATATTAATCTAATATTAATATTAATAACCTAATATTAATTCAGGTGGCACATCCCAGACTATCCAAATGCCAACCCAGGATGCCACACATATAAAATTTATAGTAACTGCAAGTTGCCTGTTGCTTTAGTTTTTCTTCCATTGTCGTCAGCAGTTGTCAAGATCATTCCATTGTTCTTTTCCCTTTGGCTGTTAAAGCTGACAGAATAAATTCATCTGATTTGCATTTGGTTTTTATATATATATATTTAACAACCAAGTATAGAAAAAAAGTATAAACACCCCACCTTCACAATTGTGTTTCTGTGAGAATTTCTGTCAAAGAATTCCTGCTACACCAATGATACTGCATTGCGTGTTTTAGTCTGTTTTAACAACTCAATGCCAGCACAATATAGACTGGTAATCTGCTGTTCTTTACCCTGCTCTGCTGAGAAAGAATAGATGAATAAAAGATTGGCGCTCTATTCTTATTCTAATATACTTCTGAACATGAAAGCAGTATTCCATATTGCCCAAATATACTGTAATCTTTTTTGCAAAGAGGAGAAAGACCATCATTTCTGTTTATTTAAAACACATTATAAATATGTGCTATTGTCTGTCTTTAATGCAAATCTTGCAGCACAGTGTTGCTATTGAGAAGGGATGCATGCCTTTATTCTGATTTCTGTGGTTATGAAGTGAAGATGTATGAAACAAAAATAGATGATAAATAGGGTGTATGGAACTATCCAGACACATCGTCGAAACCCGCTCCCTAAGATCCTTCAAGTAGTGTTTTAACTACTTGATTTCTTGGATTAATAACATGCTGTGACCCTTCATTGAGCGACATTTTCTTTACTTCTCACAGATGCCCAACACATCGCCACTGCGACGAACCCCCTCCCAGCAGCCTTTTCAGACCTGCTGCCTCACTTCCTGGTGGAGCCGGACGACGTCTATATCGTCAAGAACAAGCCCGTGACCCTGACCTGCCGCTCCACCCCGGCCACTCAGATCTACTTCAAGTGCAACGGAGAGTGGGTGCACCAGGATGACCACATGATCGAGCGCACGGTCGACCCAGCGACAGGTATGGGCACGTTGGCTTGGCAGTGTGACTCTTTCCAGTCCCATCCACGGGGCCTATTGTAAAGAATTTCACCGTTTGTCTGTAGGATAAGTATCCTGTAGGGTGGCGTTCATTACGGAGTGTTGTCCCGCAGAGAGGACAAATCCCTTCACCCTGCTCAACCAGTTGTTGACTTTCCTTGGCAATTACATTCCTTAAAACCCTTGTGTTTGGCAAAATCACAGCGGGTGAATACTTTAGAACATGGGAAATAGAGCATTAGGTTCCATAACGAACGGAACTTGCAAATTTCTCCCTTCAAAAATTTGGAAATAAAATTACAGGCCTGACAGTTCAACATGCAAAAGCTGTTAAATCATTGCACAAATGGTTAAAAATAAAGATTTGCAATCGCCCGCGCATGTTGATGTGAAACATACGCATCTAGCTAGGTGTAGACAACTCTAGAGAGGCAAGACAACAGCGCAGAGCCATGAGTGGCTGGAGGAGCTGAGCACGTTCTGAAAGTTTCCATTGGCAGAACCATGTACGAGAGAGGGTTTTCCACGGCAGGGAAGACTTGTTCTCACTCTGAAAACTGCTGAACGAGTGAGTTCTCTGGTTTGCACACCTGCCACTGTTGAGGGAAGGCTGTATAATAAGGTAAAAATCACTTACTTTAACAGGCGTCTGAGGTATCCTTCCCTCCTCCCTGTCCCTGCCCTTGCAGTAGTTCTTTGGACCGTGTGGCTATGTTAGTCTCATTTTCATGGTCTGGCTAGGCGGTGCAAAACTAAAACATTATCTCAAGCTGCTTACCAACCAAAGTGCACCACTGTGTGATTTCTTTCAGGCTCCTGAATTTGTTCCTTATCATGTTAAAATGAGCAGTCTTGGCACAGAAGTAATACAACAGCTCCAAGGAACGCCCAGAACAAAACACAACAGACACAATAACATCATCATCTGGTAGTTTGTCCTTGAATCTCACAGCACTTGGTCCTGATTTTAAAGTAGCGTGTCTCTGCATTATATTTATATATGTTGCCAAAGAACTGTCCAGGATTCTACATTCTAGCAGGATTCTTGCTTTAGCAGCTAGTCTTAAATGAATTATTAACCTTGATGTATTATTGTATATTTCTGATGGGGAAAACATTGGGGAAGAAAAGTCTCCTTTTATGTGTCTTCTTAATTTATGGAATAGTTCCTTCATTTTTACATCTATAATTATGAACAGTACCTTCCCTGCTTTTATTTATTTTTGCATTTATCATCATCATCATTAGCAGCAGTATTTGTTTTATTAGTTATACATTTTATCTTTAGATTCTGTTAAAGAAATCTAATATACAGTACAGGTAAATTAAATTTATCCAGTTAACCTGTGCCATAGTTTTGTTCAGTTATTTGTTTTCTCTGTTTTCCTTGTTTCCCGTCAAGCCCAGAGTTTCTGTTGTTTAGCCTGATGGTGTTATGTTTGCAGTGCGTTTCTGTTGTCAGTGTAACAAGATCATTTCCGCAAGGTCTGAACCCATTTCCTCAAGTCGGTACACCATGCACCCACCACATGTTTGTTCCAAGAGCAGTTTAACTCAGAAAGGCTCCAGTGTAAATCCAAACTTAAAAATAGATGCGTCTGTCACTGCTGAGCTGTGATTCAGAGCGGATTTGTAACTTAACACTTCGCATTTACAGCAGAAAGCCTACAGACCGTTAAAACAACTAAACTGTTAAGGAGGAGGAGGTTGGAAATAATGAAAAAGGCATATTTTCACAAGATGTGTTATTTTTGGCAGCCTATAGTCATTTTAATAGACTTTAGTTATTCTAGCTAAAGTCTTCCTCTGGGTAATTCTGTCTCATACAAACAGCTATAGAGATTATCATCGTCATTTAGTTTACAATTTCAGTTCAATTGGATATAGGATTTAAATGTATGAATAAAATTTATTAAGCATATAACAGCTTAACAAAATGTCAGAGTAATGTTTTGAAATGAACAACATGGCATTTACGCCACACAGTATTTGGGTTTGGTAATGGCAGAAATTGCTTTCGAGAGCAAATGACCATCTGCCTGTAAAGTGGTGGCTTTTAGAGGGCATCGCCTATAGTCACAAAAGAGTGGTCTCGAGGCAATGGGAAGGATGTGCTGCAGCAAGCTGGCTGAAGCAGAAAAGCGGTTTCAGTTTTTGGCAAATACTGCCCTGCTGTAGCTCTTAAGCCGTGGGAGCTCAGACGGCAAGGACGTCTAGCTCCTGACCGGAAGGAACCACGTTCAATCCCAGGTAGGGGCAAGCACTGTAGCTTGCTCTTATTCCTTCCAGACGGCTTCCAGGTCCACTCAGCCTGCTTTCCAAATGAGTACCGGGGGGTTAATCCTTCCGGGGGGTAATAGGCCACATTACCTCCACCTCCTGGGGCCCTCGTCCCCCATTCCCCCCATGGGCCATTAATGGCCTAAAAAGTGACCTACCTACCTAGCTCTTAAATATTCCAAATGGCAAATACAATTTAAAAACCCGTCTTCCAACTTAATAAAGCCTCATCAAATACCATTAAAAATAAGAATAATTAACCGATTCAAAAGCTCCTAAAACCCTGAAAGTGGAATGGGTGCTTTGCCTGACCACTACTACAGTACAGAGACAGCTTTTAATGATCTGCAAATGCAGCTGGATGGTACAGTCTCGCTACTGAGCTTGGTGCCGACGGAGTTGCTGTAACGTTTCTTTTGTTGCAAGACTTGTTGTTGGTTTCCATGGAACCTCAAGGGTCTCTCTATACACAGCCATGGAGTTCTGAGCCACATCCTGATTTTCTATGACTCTACAAAGGATGGATTTGTCACAAGAGAGCATTAGAAAAGACCGAGGATGTGAAGATGCCAGATGGCAGAGTAAAGGTGCTTTTCTGAGCTACTTACTTCAATCCCCCAGAACCTGTAAACTTAATCCTGTCAGGACTACTTAGTGACCAAGGTTTATGATAACCCAATCCCTCTTGCTTGAAATATTAGGAATTTGGGAAGTAATTTGATGGCCCTTTTTTTATTTATTTGCCTGAAATCCCACAACCTTTTCCCCTCCACTGGCAATAAATGGCAGACCAGAATGTCGTATAAAATAAATCTGAAAACTACACTCTGAGCTTTACTGATTATCAGTGTGTTGTTTTGTTCATTCTTTCCGCAATTAAAGCTTAGATTAGATTTGAAAAAAACTGGCTTTTTTCTTAATCAGATTTATATGAACTGTGATCAGACTTTTAATATAAACAGTTTTAATATAGATAGAAGAGAGAACCACAGTGGTGTTTGTGATTTATTTATATTATATGGCCAGCCAGTGTTTTAAAATATTTTTGTCTTTATAGCCATTATTTCTTAGTAAAGCAGTGAATATTTGACAGTGCATGATAGTGAGTACAAGTGTGGACACATACAGTCAAATCTAACATGTCTGGTTAAAGAGTAATTGTTTCATTAGCTTATGCAGATGAAAATGCTGGCTCAAGATATAAATATGAAAGTCTTTGAAAATTTCTGAGGAGCTGAAGTGTGATTCTGATCTGTCTTTTTTCCTAATATGTACTGTCCACACTGGAAACTGGACCTTAAATCACCTGCTCCCCTGAATTGCCGATATATGTTGAAATAAACTGGAGGCATCACAGGGTCTTAAAGTCAATAGAACGGTGAATCATGCTTTCTGATTGTTTGAGAGATGTGGAGCAGTTATCTGTTGCCTAGGCAAGAAACAATCAGCACTGAAAAAGAGCCTAATGACAAATTCAAAAAAGCAAAATCAAGGGCCATTGTATAATATTCTTAAATTGAACCACTGCTAAGCTGCTAAACAGTTTCATTTAGATGGCCATAAAAGGAAGACAGAGGAAATTGACACAAATATGTCTAATCAATAAGTAAAATAAGGTCATGCTTTAACTTCATTTTGTATCTGTTCAATAGGTTTCTTCCAATTCAGAAAATCCACACCTGATTCAGGCTATCTCAGCACTGACAAAATCGACCAGGAGTTAAGAGGTGGAAATGTCTCTTGATGGCACTACACCATTTGAAACACAAAACTTGTGTCACTGTCAGAAATGCAGTTATAAACCGACAGTGTGGAGAATGATGAGCAATGCTAACACCTTCTTGTGATATGAAAATAAATCTAAAATTTCCTTTTTTTCATTGCTTGACCATTCCTTTCATTGCAGATTATTGCAATAGTAATAGATGGAGTAGTAAGATGGAAGTTAGTTCAGTATATTAGAAATGGGTACAAAACCCCACAACCAGTTACAGTATGTTACAAATTAGTTTGTTACATGAATAGAATTGAATTACACAGTAAACACATAGCCAGAATTGTGTCTGTTTAGCACAGTAAATACAAATCACATACCCAACATTACAGAAACGTTGGCATTACAGTGTTTAAATTAAGCATAGCTGGAGCCATCATAATTATTCTAGTTCATTGTAGAACAGTAATAATAGGTGTTTAGTTGCATTAGTTTCATTTTAAGCAGCAGTTTTACACAGTTCTGGATACCCATATCTACACTCATTAAATCATATAGCTAATCTTATTGTGTTAATCTGTCTTTTATAGATTTCTTTTTAAATTCTTACTGAAAACTTTGAGTATTACTTTACAGAAAAGTTATACTTTCTGTACTATTTTAGCAATATTTTCTGCTTATTTAAAGCTTCACAAATTTCAAATGCCCAACTCATCTATAACCTTTTTTAATTACAACGGAAATAAAGTATAGATGGGGCCTTTCAGCTATGCCAGTCTTTTTGTAAAACAAAAAAATCCTAAAGGCATGTGTAGAGAATTGGGACTATTCTATAGAAAAGGATTTTTTTTCCTCTATAAGTCATTTTGTAAGGGTAATAGTACAAGTCGAGTATGTTGGTACCTTGCCTTGCTTGTTTCACTGTGGTACAAAAGCCCATAGACATAAATTTCATTTATATTACATAGTAGACAGCAGGATGTAAC